GTCAGCTTTCCTGTGGTGTCGATGAAGTAAGCATCAAGCTGAACATGATACGCGTTTTATTATATAAGTTGACAGCTGAGCCTGGTGGGGCTTCTCCAGCACTGTCAGGGCCTGACTTTGCGCACAGTTCAGCAACAGGGCACACACGACCTCCAACGTGAAGAACTCCAACATGCAAACTGTTGTCGGCAAGGCCGTTCAGTGCCCTGGGTCGTTATAGAGATCGAATATACACTCTCTGGAACTCACATAGAAGTGGAACATGGTTCCTTGGAAGACCATTTTCCATCCTCTACAAACCAAGGGTTTTCCACTTCCGTTTCAGGGAGACTAATAGATTGTAAATGATTGTAATGCAGTGGGCTGTGCAGCTTGACGGCTCACGTTCACGTTCCCGTTCGATACATCGGCCGAACACGACCCAAATCGGCACCTTTTCTTGGTTGCCAAAGTGATCTGCCCCTTATGTAGACTCTTGAGGACCATACACCACCTCATTTGAATTGAACATCCTCTTCAAAGGGGGGTTTAAGAGTCTCAAGAGTCTACAATACCCATGATTCCAGATTCAAAGGCGCAACTGCACCTTAGACTCTTCGACACCAAGAGTCTCTGTTTAGTCTGTTCGCTTCCCATGCCCACGAACACCCCCACTCGGACGACAGGTGTCTCGCACGCAAACGCACGTGGAGAGCGAAAAGCGCGCGGAGGCGCCTGAAACTAACTCGATCGCCTGCACTTGCTCAGTGGATGTGCCAGCTGTGCCTGGATCACACCCTTGGAGGCTGGGTGAAATTCAGGGCAACCCTTGTCCAGCTGCACAGGAACTCTGGAAAGGAGGCTTGGGTGTAGATGGAAGCATGATGTTCACAAGCAGCTGTTTACATTCCCTAATTCTCCGCCGTTGCTTTTCCCAGCTCTGGAGGATATGTTGTACAATCAGCCCTGGAAGATCTTCAGCTATAACATGCTATTATAACACGATTCACTCTTCTTCTTCGGGATGTCATCTGCCGGCCTAGCTCAAAACGATACCCTGATCTCTGCTCCCCCTCTTTCTGTCAGTGGCCTGAGACGCTGCAGCCTGCTTTGCGGCTGGCCTGACGACAAGTTTTGACAAAGCAATGCCAAGCATCATTCCAGCACCACCGGCACTCAAGTCCAGCCAAGCGAAACGCCAAAAAACTCAAAGCCATGTCGGCTCTACCATGGAGGCTGCAGTCCCAAGGGCCTATATTATATCATTCATTAAGGCCTACCAGGCTACCAATCCCATTCCCACTGATTGTTTTCCCAATACATGTTGCGCCAAGGAGGTCCAAGGGGCATGAACCGGGCCCAAAGACTTGGGCACTTCGTTGATGAGGGCTTCGGGCTTGGGCTCGAACTCATCCTGGCAACATGCCATCAACTCATGGCCAAGATGCGGAAATTGCAAATGACAACTCGTACATGCTTGGCTCGAAGAATAACCTTCCACTTCCTAGCTCCCAAGTCCTTCTGCATCAGTCTACTCACAGGGCAACTGTAGGGGTGGCTCAAAACATGTTCTGCATCATCGACCACGCCGGAAACCGAAAATGATCCATTCTCTGTCTGCCCAAGAATGACACGGAGTTGCAGAACGAGATTGGGTCGAGCATGGGAGAATGGCCAAGATATCTACCTTCAATCAACAGGAGCCACTTCAAATCACACCGTGCTGTGCTCAAGACAGCACGAGATATCCCAAACAAGTCTGAAGAGCTAGCAGCTAGCAAGTCTTGGATCGCTAAACATCAAACAATTTCAACATCCTTAGCCCGAGCACTTCTACAGTTTCAGAGTCGATGGCACTGGACCCCAAGATGTCCATCTACAAATGGGGGTAAACCACCCAAACTTGGGGCCCCACAAGTGCCATCGAACCTCTGAAACACCCCTACTAACTTAAGTGGACAAACGGTATGTCGGTATGTCCCTATTAATTTATATTCTTATGTGCTTGGGAATCTGAAACCCACTGAGCCGTACATCAAAAAACACCATCCACCCTCTCCGGGAGCGCCGCAACTTGGCCTGCACGAGCCGTCGGAGAAGAGCCTCATGCCGAGCCAACAGCATGGCCTGCATCGCTTGACGCCTCGGGTTAAAGATAGGTCGGTGCCATGTGACGTCACAAGAGTTTTAAACAAAATCTTGATTGAAGGATCAATGAAAAGTATACTTGATCAATCAATCAGAATCAATGCTCCCGTCGCAAAATGTCGCAAGTAGTTGATGCGACTGAAAGATTGATCTGGATTCCTCGTCTCTCGCCGAGCTGCTCCTGCCGTAGCTCCGCTGAAAGCCAGCGCGCAGAGTCCTCGCAAGGGAGAACCGTCGCCGGGTCGCGCCAACGGGGTGCGGTCGCGGCAGCCGAAGCAGCGATGCAGCCGAAGCATGCGCGTCGACATCGGCGGTTTGAGTGTCGAAACTTCTCCTCGGTGAACTTCGGCGTCCGCGCGCCTTGGGGTGGATCAAGAACAAGGGTGGTCCAGACAGCCGATCACAAAGGCTGCTCAAGCTGTTAGCAGTTTGGGGGGGGAGAAAAACTTGGCCCATTTCACACTCAATTGTGCATTTGACTTTCAAAACTCTGCCGTCTGTAGCCAAAACTCATGAACAAACGCTCGAGGTGAGCCAAGTCACTGCATTTGCAGCTCATTTTTCCATCTACCCTTGAGCGCCCTCGCATTTCTTTACATGCATACTCATGATGAGAAAAAACTATATCTCTGGAACCTTGTCAGTCCCCCATTCAGTTCAGGAATTGAAGAATACATGTATGGAGATATTTGAAGCATTGTGATCTTGGAGAACATGGTCATGAGGACCTCACTGCCACTCCCCAATGGCAAACCATATGCCCAACTTCTCATGACTTACACACTTGCGGTCAGAAGAGGCATCGTATGCATCCCAAATAATATACACATGCCACAACAAATCGCAACAACATGATTGGTAACTTACGACCTGCCTCAACTTGGCATACATGGCTTTAAGCCTTCAAGCTTAAAAAAACTCACCGCAAAAGACTACTCTGGAACAAATAATAAAGTCGGATGATGCTTTGACCCATGTCAGGCAAACACTAAGTGGACTCCGGGCTCACCCAGGGACCCATCGGTTTGGTAGCCTCCATGCCACCAAACCAAGGTTGAGCTGAAGTCTTGACGGTTTCTTGATCTGTTTCAGATCTTTCTAAGGCCCCCATCCAGGTACACTCCGATCTGAGTCAAATCTTTGCCATTTATAGAATATACCATTTAGGTCGGCGACTCGACTCTCAGCTGCACACTCTTCACACTCCGTGGTGTGTCTGTGCTCTTCGGCCTCAATATCCATTGGGTCCGAAGCCGCACTCAAAGAATAGCTTTCAGTATATAGGTTCGCTAAATGGTTCTTGGAAAGCTTATGTGTATGAGTTGCTTCGGCAAGAACGTCCTTTTTTGCCTCGCAACAACGCAGGCAGTAAAATGAACAACCTGTTTGCTGCAAGACGAAAAAACAAAGTGCCTAAAGGAAGCAAATGTCTCAAGCCCTTACAGCCCCGTGCTTGGCAAGACCTGATCACTGATCAGTGGTTAGCAAATATGGATATGACTTGACAGAATCTTCACAGTCCGGAATTCAGCCCAGCTGTTGGTTTGTAGGGGTCATTGGATTAGATATCACCCCTCAGGAATCTGCAGAACCCCGTCACATACCCCAGCACCTGCCATATTCTTGGCAGATACCAAAACAACCTTGAAAAATGAAGGAACATAAAACAAGTCATACAAATCATAAAACAACAAAACATATCTCTCCACTCCACTTATCTAACTCTTTGTGCTTCATTTGTCTCAACTTCTGCCCAGCAACGACATGGACATGGCACGAGGAACCTCGCGTTCGCTCCGTCCCGCTGTCCCCGCGGCGCCGCGGTGAACGAAGCCGGATCGGGGCCGGGCCGTCGCGACTGCGGTCCGCAGAGCGGCGGCGGACGCGAAAGGATCTGCCAAATCTGGGAAAGGACGCTATGAACGGAGCAAGGTTCGCTACGAAGGAGCTACTTAGGCTAGGGCATCGCGACTCGAACGGAGCGACTAGGGCATCGCTACGAACGGGGCGACCCTGGCCGTAGTACGTTCGTAGCATGGATGCCATAAAAACGTAGCTCCTGGCATCGCTACGTTCGTAAACAAGGACGCATACCAATTGCATCGTGTACATTTGGATTGCAAATGGTTGCAAAGCTGCTGAGCCTCTGGGTGGTTTATGAATCAAGTGACGGCTCCCCAGACCCCGATGCAGAGCGGCGCAAGAAGAAAAACTGTTCCCAAGCTGGTCAAGTAGCTTGCGATGCCCAGGGGTGTAAGGAGTACAAGTAGTATCCCCTGTGATGGTCTATGGACTTCCGTGCCTGATCTTTGCCCAGTTTCAATGCTTTTACGTGTTCCATTGGTAATTTATTTTACTGGCTTTTAGGACCGTGAAGAGCAAGAAAGCATGCCACCCAATAACAACTGCTCAACATGAGCCATCAGAACGAGTGTCTGGGGTCTGAAATGCAGAAGAAACCAACGAACTGCTTGATTTGCAAGCTCTTAGGTACAGCGCACAAGCTGCATAAGCATCCGACATGGGCAGTGTAATGCCTTTTTTCCAGCGCTTGCTGTCATGTGTTGCATGTGCATTTGAGCGCTGAAAGCTAACAGGAGGGAAGAGCATAAACAACAGTGAGTGTCCATTTTCAATTTTTAGCCACCATGTTCCATGTCAACGAATCTACTGCTAGATATTGCATGATAGGTATAGATTTTGCACTTGTACTTCTTTTGGGTGGTAATGGCTAAGAAGATTCACTAAAAAAGACTCTTTAGGCCTAGGCTTCTCCTCCTGTGTTGTTTGATGGTACGGAAGGTGTGAGGCCAGCACCACATTGTGCGTGACGCATCAAGTTGAGACATTCGATAGCTGGCAATCCTCTCAAACTCTTCAGTGAAGCTGGCATCTTCCGTTGTGGCCAGCCATGAAACTCGCGCTTTCAAAAGCCGCGCTCACCATGGCGCCAGAAAGAGGGGCAAGTCATGCAGACTTGGCGAGAATGTTCAGAAATAAATCTCTAGCAAAATCAATGTGCCTTTAGAAGGATGGCCTCCGGCAAAGAACTAGGCAACGACCAATTCAGCACTCTATATATTAGAAAATAATGAATAAATGTTCAAAGAGAACGATCCGGCTGACCATCACAACAAATGAGTCTTCAATTCCTTTCCCATCTGCGACAATACGTTTGAAGGTTCCCCGAGTACCGTCTTCTGAAAACTTCTTCTGCGCTGGAGCCCACTGGGAGCCCACTGGCCGCGCACCAGGCGTCTCAGTCCTGGTCGACGAAGGGCCTTTCAAATACCAGGCCTACGTAGCCTCGGGAGCAGGACTGCGCATGTGGCTGAATGGCGACAGCTGCCCAAGCTGCGGATCCCCGTGTTGGAAACCCTGGTATCGCCTCGTTCATCTTCTCACTCCCTAAACTTCAGTCAAAAAAGGCACCAGCATATATACAATCACATGGCCCAATGCCCTCAGCTCCCAGCTATCCATCTTGTTATTCTCCGCGATCTCATCTATGACCTTGCCACCCAACTGATTCACCTGCTTTTCGCTTCAGTGGAATATCTCTGGTCATCTCCATGCTCCACCGCTGAGCGCCAGGCCCGTTGGAAGGGAAAGCCCCGGGGGATCACCAGCACGGCCTAGAGGCCGCCCCGGACTGGAAGCACCGCAAACGGGCGCTCCGAGTCGGGGTTCGCCCCAAGCACTTCATCACACGATGGAGTGCTCACTGCAAGGCTTGCCACATTGGTAAAATACAAAGAAGTGTCACAAAACACGTACCAACACGTGCATTCTGTGACTCTCAACATCGAAACGTCTGCCCCACGAAACGTCTGCTACATCTGTTCCTGGATGTTGATGAGAACCAGCCGACAACTGCCAGGTTGATTGGAGGTGAACCCAAGTGTCGAACACCCTGTCCCAATGTTGTTCCAGGTGTTGTATCGAAATATCGAGCATCCTGTCTATTACACAAGCGCAGTGGCCATGACAGTTCTAAATGAAATCTCACTGGGCATGGCCCTGCCATGTATAAATCCATCAAACTCAGCATGTTCCCCCCTCGTATGTACACAGGGCACACCCAAATCATTGATGGAGGAGAACCACTGACCAATATTTACATACACTATCATACACTTACATCCCCTGTGGGCATCCGGTTGGCTCCAATCATTCCAATGTTCTGCAACTGCACCTTGGTTTGCTCGCCGGCAGACGCGCCCAAGGCTTCAGCCATGCCACCTGTTATCGTGGAGAAGGTCACAAACGATCTGAGCCCCGGAAGGTCGCAAACGAAATCTCCATACCCAAACACTTCATGGGACGGGCATGTTTACGTATATTCGAGTGGTTTCAGGGGTCAGTGCAAACATATACAGTAAATACACAATTAAATACCCGGCATATATAAAATACAGTATCTAGTAATAATTGATATATATATATATAATATATATATATTATTATGTGAGCATGAACCAGGATGGGGATACGGTACTCCTTTGCGCTTCAGAGTGAACGCGGTGGAATCCAGAAATCTGCACCAAATCGGCAAGTATTTTCAACGGTCTGTGCGGTGCGAGAGTCATAAACTCAACAGTGTACGTCGGATTTGACTGATCTGAGCTCCCAAACTCCCAAAAACGTGCGGATCAATCTCGCCATTATTTCAACCTGAGTGGTTCACGATCCCAACCTATATAGCCGAACCTGATTCCCAGACCCGAAGGGGTTCTGGCTGACCGTTGCTGGCCGAACCCTCCTGACCCTCGATGTTCGGCCTTCTTCCCCTTCCTCTCCACCGGTCAACTTCCGCTGAGGTGTAGTGATCGCACGCAGGTAATCGCCCACACCTCGAGGATTTTTCCTGTTTTCCCAATGTTTGTCCAAAGGGATTTGATGACGTGATAGCAGCTGGGGGGGATCCGCACAAAAAGTAGAACGCAACAGCCTCAGGCAAGTCATCTTTTGAGCATTTTTGGGGCTGACACCAGGTCACCAGGTGCGCTTTTCCTCGCAGAGGAACCGATCTTTCGGCTCCGTCACACCTGTTTTTGCAGGCTCGCTTTCTGCGGTGGACACGTCCGCTTTCCGCTTTCTGGGCTGACTGGTGGGGTACTCGCTCTGGAAATCATCATGGAGGTGGATGGCATGGCCCCATGGTCCCTTGGTAGAGTTTTCCACTTCTATGATGATTTCTGGGTGTGCAGGTCGGAATGCCAAACAAAGAGTGTGTGTGTTGTTCCGTTTAGATCCTTTTAGTCTACTCTGTTTTGTTCCATTCTTTTCCCAACCCTCCCTCTCTCCCTCCCAGTGGCACATAGTCCCCACCAGGCAAAGCATGGGACAACTTTACGTACTCTTCAACTCTTGCAAGAAACCCAAATCGCCACTAGTAACAAGTGCATCGCTACTAGTAACAAGTGCCTTACTAGTAGTAACAAAAAGCTTCCTTCGATGTTTCACCAGGAAGACCTTAAATAGACTCTAAAGTTTTTGCAGGCCCTAATAGCTTTAAAGTCTATTTGTTCCTATATAATATAATAGCTTCTTGTTACTACTAGTAAGGCACTTGTTACTAGTAGCTTCTTGTTTTGCAAGAAACCCAAATCCGACACCGGCCAAGCATCGAATGCTTCCATCCTCCTTTGCACTGCCTCCATCCACCAGGTCTGTGACCTCCGCAGCGATGCGTTGCTCCCTGAAATCTGAAATCAACCCGATAAGCGGTTGTAGCATTGGAGGGATTCATCTTCAACCAGCTCCCTAGATCTGGTCCCCTAAATGGATCCTCCCCACAAGCATCGAAAAGAAAAAGGCGGCATCAAACAAGATCAATCAATCCTCCAAACTCCTCCACCATGGCTGTTGGTACGCAAGCTGAGATCCAATGTTGTTGCCCGCCCCAAACTCCTGCCCCTGGAGCACCAATCCAGTGGGGCACCAGTGAGGCTTTGCACACCATGTGGTTTTCACCATGTGAAGTGTTTACCATATCTTACCCTTGGCTCTTGCTTGGATGTCGGTCCGCATGGCGACAGGCTATGGCCTGAATCACTGTCCCAACGCCATCTACCTCCACTTCTTCCAGGCTGACACCCATGGGCCTCACGCGTGCGCGTTGCAAGTGCACATGACGCGTGCGGGCGCGCGCACTGGCGGGCACTTGACTTGGCGTGGCAAAAGTCCCCAAATGAGTAAACAACCCTGACCCTGATGCGAAGATTATGAGATATGATGAACATTGTTCAACCTTGGAGTGCTGTGCCATTTTCTCTGCTTTCCTGACAGGTACAGGTACCTGGGTGCTCGTTGACTGGCTAAACGGTGTGATGACCGTGACTAGCAGTGCGATCACCTTGCAGCACAAACATTACCCTCCCCATAACCAACCCCAAAAAAACAGGCACAGGAGGTTCTTGGCCCACTGAACACCACCAAGTAGCATTGGCAGCTCCAAGAAGTAAAACGATGACCCCTGACATGCGCCAGTGTGCGAGATCATGCGAGGAGAGGAGTCTTTGTTTCCGATGATGTGTTTTTTCCCGGGGCATTTCCTGATCAAGTCTGAATACTTCCAAACCAAGCAACCCAAAGTCTGAATCTTCCTCAAGCTGCGTCAAGTTTCAATTTAACATGTTCACTATATTTCACACACTATATGTGCACATAGAAGCGCCACCGGCATCTGCCAAAGAATTGCAGCATCACATTACATACTACACTTTACGTTGCTTTCAAGTTTACTCTCGCGAATATCAATTCGCCTTTTGACGGTGATAGCGATCAAGCTGGATATCGGTGAACTTGATTCCTGCACACCATTGCATGTGGATGAACCTCTGTGGATGAACATGTGAATGGATGAACCACAGCTTTGATCATGTGGATGAACATGATGAACTCAATTCACTGGCGACAAAGCTGTGGCCGTCCTTTGTATTTGATGGGTCCCAAATCCATCGTGGCCTCGGACAGACTTGCACAGCCAAAGTCAACGGATCTTTGGGGTGCGAAAGGGAAACTAGGCGGTTCGAAACCGTGTTGAATCATTTTTCAGCACACGTCCTTCACAATGTTTTAGAATTGATTAATGTGCTTTCTCGGGACCTTCTTCAGCTCAGTTTTCCGAGAAGGTCCAATGATTTGCTTTCTCTCCGACATCTTCTCTATCTTCTGTTTTTGCATCCATTCGGTTTTGCACGTTATTGAGCTCCAAGTTGCAGTCCAGGAATAATAATCACCGTTCTTCTCATCCTCCTGCAGGGCCAAGGGAAAAGCAACAAGAAGCACGAAGAGGATGGCCTACAAAGCCATGGCTCATGGGTATTGTACACCTGATCTGCACGGTCCAATTTGCTATGAGGGGCAGGCGGGCCACCTTTTCCGGATCGTCTAGAGCAGGCTCACTGATACTGGCACAAAACCACCAGGCCTCCTTCGGGTGGATTGAGCATCTGACTGTCACACTGTCACCACAAAACATGATCATATCAACACAGCCGTCTTGACTGTTCTGGTGAAACAATCGTTGATTCTTCAACCTGCTTCTGTTTCTGGGGCATCTGGGACCTTCCTTGTGATCAAGCTCTGCAGAAGCTCGTCCGTCTCCGGCACTAACTGCGATGCCAAAGAACTTCCAGCTTCGATCACCTGCTGCGACTCGGCCACCCAAGCCATCTCCACTAGACGTCTGGTCTCCATGGCTGTTTGCCAAATTTTCCCTTCCAAGTTCTCAGCCAACCGCACTGGCGGCACTTCAGGTGCTTCAACCATCTCCTTCACATCCAAACCCAGCCTTTGCAAGGCTTCGGCCACCAGAACCGGCTCCTCGTCCCCACTCAAAAGTGCCATCCGTGCCTCGCGCGCCCGCGCGCGGCCGCGGGCGGCCGCGGCTTCAGCGTCCTGCACGGCGGAGCGAAGCTCTTCCGCGACCTGGAGGAGCTGACGAGTGGCCTCCAACTTGCCGGCGATGGCATCCTGCGAAGCGATCGAGTTCGCGGTAAAAAGCGACTCCAAGTCGTGGCGAGAGGAAACGCTCCCAGTAGCGTTCTTGTTCCCAGTAGAAAGGCCAGGAGCCCCTAGTAGCGTTCTTGTTCCTAGTAGTAAGGCCAGGAGCCCCTAGTAGCGTTCTTGTTCCTAGTAAGGCCAGGAGCCCCTAGTAGCGTCCTTGTTCCTAGTAGTAAGGCCAGGAGCCCCTAGTAGCGTTCGTATTCCTAGTAGCAAGGCCAGGATCCCCTATAGTAGCGTTCTTGTTCCTAGTAAGGCCAGGAGCCCCTAGTAGCGTCCTTGCTCCTAGCAGTATGGCCAGGAGCCCCTAGTAGCGTTCTTGTTCCTAGTAGTAAGGCCAGGATCCCCTAAGGCCAGGAGCCCCTAGTAGCGTCCTTGTTCCTAGTAGTAAGGCCAGGAGCCCCTAGTAGCGTTCTTATTCCTAGTAGTAAGGCCAGGAGCCCCTAGTAGCGTCCTTGTTCCCAGTAGTAAGGCCAGGAGCCCCTAGTAGCCTTCTTATTCCTAGTAGTAAGGCCAGGAGCCCCTATAGTAGCGTCCTTGCTCCTAGGAGCCCCTAGTAGCGTCCTTGCTCCTAGTAGCCCCTTGTAGCGTTCTTGTTCCTAGTAGTAAGGCCAGGAGCCCCTAGTAGCGTTCTTGTTCCTAGTAGTAAGGCCAGGAGCCCTAGTACAGTAGCGTCCTTGGTCCTAGTAGTAAGGCCAGGAGCCCGTAGTAGCGTCCTTGCTCCTAGTAGTTTGTAGTAGCGTCCTTGTTCCTAATAGTAAGGCCAGGAGCCCCTAGTAGCGTCCTTGCTCCTAGTAGCCCCTAGTAGCATCCTTGCTCCTAGTAGCCCCTAGTAGCGTTCTTGTTCCTAGTAGTAAGGCCAGGAGCCCCTAGTAGCGTCCTTGTTCCTATTAGTAAGGCCAGGAGCCCCTAGTAGCGTTCTTATTCCTAGCAGTAAGGCCAGGAGCCCCTACTAGCGTCCTTGTTCCTAGTAGTAAGGCCAGGAGCCCCTAGTAGCGTTCTTATTCCTAGTAGTAAGGCCAGGAGGCCAGGAGCCCCCAGTAGCGTCCTTGCTCCTGGTTGTAAGGGCAGGAGCCCCTAGTAGCGTCCTTATTCCCAGTAGTAAGGCAGGAGCCCCTAGTAGCGTCCTTGTTCCTAGTAGTAAGGCCAGAAGGATTTAGTAGCGTCCTTGTTCCTAGTAGTGGCCAGGAGCAGGGCCAGGAGCCCCTAGTAGCGTTCTTGTTCGTGGTGGTAAGGCAAGGAGCCCCTAGTAGCGCCTCCTTCTTCCTAGCAGTAAGGCCAGGAGCCCCTAGCAGTGTCCTTGCTCCTGGTGGACAGGCCAGGAACCCCTGTAGCGTCCTTGTTCCTAGTAGTAAGGCCAGGAGCCCCTAGTAGCGTCCTTGCTCCTGGTAGTAAGGCCAGGAGCC